GGAGGCTCATCTGTCTCGATTCGTGTAAGAACCAGGACTAAAGGCCGAGGGCATTAGTAACGACCTTTTAGTCTCGGTTCCAGAACCGGGACTAAAGGCCCTTACGAACCGGGACTAAAGGCTCTTTTTCTACTAGTGTACTAACATGTTTCCTATTGACAGCAGTTAGAAGCAGACCTACTGTTTGTTTAAATTCAGTTGCCTTAATTTGCCTAGACATACAGAGAAGGATATATTGGTTCAAGAGAGATGACTCTGTAAAGATTTCTCAGAGTGCTATTCATCTGTTGCTCAAAATATGCACAGCAACATGTTATATAAAACATATTCCTCGATGTATTTGTGCCAGAGACCATCAATAAACCTTTCCTCGTGTCTTGCTGCTACATACATCGATACAATAACCAACATGTTCGATTATTTATATACACATGGCGACATCAAACACTGAAGGTGAAGGGCCTGACTTGTTCAATATAGTACAATCTGTGACCTTATACTAAGCGGAAGTTGCCTGCAAATTCTCACAAGTCAATATTAAATTTACAAAGTGACCCAAGGAATAGCTAGAATAAGTACAGATGCAACTTTGTTTATCATATAGGCTGCGGTAGTTCAGAGAAGACTGACATAAAAGAGCTATGGGGTGACCCAAGGAAACATAACGAAATTCACACACACTCCAAGACTGTGGGCTGATCAATATGCATCAAAATAAAACAGCTATGGGGTGAACATTCTCTGCTGCTCAATATATTTCTGGCAAAGAAAGAGGGCATCAAAATGAAACGAGACAGTGAAATGCAATACAAATCATAGGGTTAACAGAATCGCTTGGACCACGAGGATGATATATCGGTTGAGCAGAATATCTAGGACCAAAAAAGACTCCTACCTAAGAGTGCAACAATCTGAGCCTACAGCAGCAGTACACTGCCAAAACAAGCCCTATTTTTATGGTTGAAGAAACCAAGCAAAATCCTGAAACCAACTAATGTATAGCGATGTCCGGCATGGGGAAGGATGATCTTGTCCATGTAAGGATGAGAATCATGTCAACCGGCAACCTTGGCTGCGATGCACTAACCCTGAATTGAAAGCAGCTCCGGTTAGTATCATAGCATGCAATTATAGTCATTTAGCAATATATCTAGAAGATTGTTCTTACTGGCAAATAAATCACAATGTTTTTAAACGAGCCAAAAGACTTGCCATTTTCATAAGAACCTAAAGACTGACGAAATTCAGAAATACTACAACTAACTTCAGCTATGACCAAACTTTCTATCTTACTAAGAGCATCTCCAGCCGCGCCCCCCACAGGCCCTCCCAAGGCGATTTTTTAGCGCCGGTGGCCGAAAATCGGCCCAGTCGCGCCCCCAGGATCTCGTTTAGCGTCGGTTTGGGCGAAATCCAGAGCCGGCGATCCCGCCCCGAACCCAAACGGCCGGGTGTCGCCTGGGCGCGCCGGCACAAGCGAAAAGCGGCGTGGGGCCGCTCTGTCGGCGACTGGAAGCTGACTGGAAGCCCTTTTCCCGCCGTTTCCTCCCACGCTCACCCCTCTCTTCTCCATTCCTCCCGCCAAACCCCCGCCTCCTCCCTGTCCTTCCGCCGGCCATGCCGCCGAAGAAGTACGTGATGCCGCGCGCCGCGACGGATCCCACCGTCGCCGCCGCCCAGCCGAAGCAAAGGAAGCCGAGGGCTCCGCTCTCCAAGCCCCCCGGCATGACCAACACCGAGTGGAAGGCGGATGTGGAGCGCCGGGAGGCCGTCACCGCCGACAGGCGCAATAGGGCCAAGAAGGCGAGGGAAAAAGCGGCGTACGCTGCTGCGGCGGCGGCGGCGAAGCGTGCCGCCGAACAGGCGGAGGTGGCGCGCGCGGCGATGACAAATCCACCCGGTGGGCACATGTACGCGGCTTGAAGCCAGCAAAGCGTCGGCTCTCCGGACGGGTTCTCGTCGTCGCCGCACCCATGGAGCACGCCGTCGTCGGGCTATGCCGATGGGGACGCCCACGGTGGTTTCAACCCCAACATCACATTTCCCCATGGGCGCCCTGCCCAACGCACGCCCTCGCCCGCGTTCGCCGGCCTGCAGTACCCGCCTTACACGTACTCACCGCCGGATTACGCAGCCTCACCGACGCCTCCTCTTCGCCGCGGCCTCTACTCACAAGCCTCATCCTCGTCGCATCTCGGCGACGCCGACATGACGGAGGCCGACATGGAGGAAATCATCGCAGCCGGCTCGGCTGCCGCCGCCGCTTCCCCCGGATTCACTACGCAGGACGGCTCGATTGGCCTTGCCGACATGGACGGCGAGGTCAACTATGGCGAGGAAGAGCGGGAGGAGGAGGAAGAAGAGGAGGAGCCGGCGCCGACGAGGAAAGGCAAGAAGAAGAAGAAGAAGATGGCGGCCAAGTCCGGCGAGCCACACATCAAATGGGCATCCAAGGAAGAGGAGTGCCTCGCCGAAGCGTGGAAGGTCGTCTGCCTCGACAAAGGTGGGCGTCCCCATCGGCATATCACCGGCACGAATCAGAGCATCGAGACGTATTGGGACCGCATCAAGACCGAGTTTGACGAGCGGAAGCTCGTCGACCCCTACTTCAAAGGCATGCACATGAAACGGGGGTCGAAGGGGATGGTGAACCATTGGTCGCTTATCCAAACGGCGTGCAACAAATGGCATGGGATCGTCGAGGAGGTCGCGGCTTGCCCGGAGAGCAGCACCAGCCTCGAGGATCAAGTATCGCACGCCGTTCTTTCGCTCCAAGAGCGTTCTTTCGCCTTGTACGCGCCCTGGCGCGCGCTCGGGTGCCGACTGATGTCCTTTCTTCGGCGTAGCTGCTACGCATGTTCGCCATGTTCCGCGACGACAACAGCGACGCAGACTTCAAGTACCTCCACGTCTTCAAGCGGATCGACAAGTGCGAGAAATGGGCGGCCGTCCGACGCACCCTCGCCAAGGCCAAAGAGACGTACAAATCGGACGCGCCGACCATGGGCGCGGCCGACGGGCGCCCGGACGGCAACAAAGGTGCCAAGAAGGTGAAATATGCCGAGTCGGCTACCGCGCGCGTGCAAGAGTCCATCGAACACTGCCTCGCCGACGCCAAGACCAGGGCGGCCGAGCGAGAAGAGAAAACCGAGGCGAGGTGGGCTGTTTTGATGACGAACAGCGCCGTCAAACTCGACTTGCTCCGGACCAGCGCCGCCGCGAAGCTCAAAGCTCAAGACGCCAAGAAAAGGAACAACAACCTCACCTTTTTGATGGGCGGCGCTGACATGCTCCAGAGTGGCGACGAGAAGCTCAAGGCATGGTTCTTGGCCGAGCGCGACCTCATCCTGAACCAGATACCGGCGACGCCGACGCCGCCGCCCAACCCGGCGGCTGATGGCGATGCCTCCGCGACACCCAGCCCCACCGACGATGCCTCCGCCGCGCCGAACAGCCCGGAAGCCGCGCCGACTCCTCCCAGCCCACGTACGCCGCCGCCGCCGCCGGAGGTTGAGCTCGGCGCCTGATGCCTTCCGCGTCCTTCCTTTTTTGTACGCCGAACTACATTTGATCGCCGAACTGCGGCACTGTGAATTGCCGAACTATTGCGATGATCGCCGGTTTGTTGTTTCTTTGAGCGGGAATGATAGCTTTCGAATATGGAGCGCCTTCGGGGGCGGTACCTGGACGCGTGGCTGGAGAGAAACGAACCCCAGGGGCCGAACTAGCGCTGGCTCGCCCCCAGGCCGCTCTTTTTCGGTGCCCTGGGGGGCCGAACGGCTGGAGATGCTCTAAGTACAGATGCAAAAGGAAATGGTATAGCTAATAAAGAAGATTGCATCAAGCAAAACGGCAACTACATAAAAGGTTTCAAATATTTTAATTCCATCCACCATTCAACTTCAGTTTTATAAAAATAAAAGGGAATGTCTAGACAAATTCAGCAGTAATATATCACATTTTTTCTCAACACGCATTGAAAGCATGACATTATGTTTTAATATGAAATAGTAGCATATTTAGGTGATAACAAGGATACATGTGCAGCCAAACCTTATAATTGGCATGTATAGGCCACATTGCAACAACCTAGAGATTTTGCACAACATGAAAATTTACTGACAGCTTAACTCATATTCTTGCTACATCAAAGAGCATACAAATCATGCATGCAGAACATGTACTTACCAGAGCTGAGATAAACATTGCATTTCACAGAAGAATACCCCCTGAAGATGTCATATATTTCCGTGCATCTATCATTACTTGTCGAGACCTCATGTGACAGACTCACAATCATTATTTTAAGCATTGGTGCACAGCTGAATATTAGTTTCAAGAAATCAAGCTCATGAACATCTCCTCTGAAGCCATGTATTTCTACTTCTTCAAGAGCAGTCAAGGAGATAATTTGGGTCTTCCAGTTCGTAGACTCACAAGGATAATTTGCAGGGCACATTTCTTCCTCCTAAAACCAAATATGTGAATTACTATGAAATGTTCCTGTTGAGATATATAAGCAGAGCAAAGCATTACCTCTAATCTCAGAAGGGCGACCTTAAGCCTCCGTATAGCGCTACGAATCCGATTCAACCCAAGAAGATGCGACACAAATGCTCCAAAAACATGGCCCATTGCTGACAAATGCAGCTCCAAAGCAGAGAAGTCCACAATCATATGCTTCTCTATCTCCTGTTCAAAGTTGGCCTCTTCATCGGAAAAGGTAAACCAGTTCTGAAAAGCAAATTGGCAGAGTTGTATCATTCATAAAGTTTAGCTCAGCCGTAAAATCCAGTAAATTAACTAGAAGAGGAGGCACACATTGCAGGCATGAATGTGCAGCGAAGAGTGTTTCTCTGCGGTATGCAGGCTCAGCTTCTTGAGTGTCCAAAGACCAAACCCAATAATTCCCTTGCCGTAGAGGCATTGCCACGAGACATTCTCCAGCATTGGTGCCAAGATGGAGATGGTCACTTGATTGTATGTGTGTAAGAAGAGCGTCAATTGCTTGAGCATGGGGCAACGATGTCGACCGGCCGTGCCCTCAAATTCTCGCTGTCCATGACAAGCTCCTGCAGTGACGTTGAGTGGACTGTCCAGTCGTAGTCGCCGAGCCAAATGAGGCCCTTGAGCCTGAGCACGCGCAGGTGTGGGCAGAGGGAGAGCAAGGCGCCGAGGTCGTCCACTTGGCAGCCCGTGAGGGTCAGCGTCTGGAGCGCGGGGAACTCGGCCCCGGCAGCCGGTGTGCGGAGGACGAAGGGGATCCACTCCAGCACGATCGAGGTGGCGCGGTGGAAGCACGGCAGGTCCACCTCTGTGGAAGTCGGATCTGGGTCCCACGGGAGGGCGAAGACGAGCTTCTCCGGCGCGAGCAGTGCGGCAGCGCGCAGCACCGATGTGACGTCATCGGCGTCGGAGATGGGCAGGTGTTCATCGGAGACGCGGATCTGGAGGAGGGAGACCGCGGGAGGGGGGCGGGCTACGCGGCCGAGCGCCACCTGGAGCGACGGGAAGGCGACGCCCCGGAAGGCGAGATCGCGGAGGCGGGCCCACAGGCCGCGCCATCGGCGGGAGACGAGGCCGGTGCGCGCGGCGGCGGCGGCGCAGCCGAGGCGGGCGAGGACAAGGAGGAGAAGATCCTCGGGGAGGGCGCTGAGGTAGTCCGGTCCGCCGGCAGGGCCTGGCTCGGAGGAACGCCGGCGGCGCCTCGTACCCAACTCCATTGAAGTGAGCAAACCCCTGCCTCCGATGGCTGCAGTGCAGCGCAGTGATACGGTGGACGTACCGTCTACACCGGCGGCCACCGTCGCCCGCGCGCATGACGTATTCGACGGTATGTCCCAAAGGTGGAAAAATGGTTCGTTTTTACTCAATTATTTCTTATGAAATTGAATGCAGTTGAGAGAAGTGACGTGTTTGTAGGTTTAATTATGTGCATGTAGTGTTGATGATGGAACTTTCTTGCAATATACTACAGATGTTGCAAATGAAGATTTTGTCTCTGAAGATATCTCATCACAAGAGTTTCAATCACAATATGATGAGGGGTTCTTTGATTCTACACCTAGGGAAAGTTTGGGAGACTACACAAACGAAGAAGACGTCTTGCTATGTTGGGCCTGGAAGGCGATATCTCTTGATGCAACCATCGACACCGATCAACCAATGAGAAAATATTGGGCATGTATGAAGAGTTCTGCGACGCACCCAGTGCAAGTGGGTATGATAGACCGACCGCATCTCTTCGTCGCCATGATATCCGCGGATTGTCAAAAGTGGTCCCATTGCTTGAAAAAATGTCGAGCACATGAATCCAAGTGGCACCAACAATGACAATGGGTGGTCATGCTTGCTCTTAGTTATACAACATAGATCATGCTTGCTCTCGGTTGTAGTATATACATCATGCTTCTCATTCTCACTTATGATTCCTGGCAATTGTAGCTCAACATGTCTCAAGCGTTATTTCGCGGTAGAGGAAAGGGTGGGGGCAAGAAGAAGACAATGAAGCACCTTTACTTTGCACCATTGTTGGATCGAGCTTGAGAATGAAGAGAAATGGAAAAGTCGACAAGTATATGAAATTCCAAACAAGCGGGAGAGTCCGGGTGTGCATGATGATCATGACGATGCATCAAGCGAGGAGGAAAGGAAAAGGTGTCCCACTCCCAACTAGGTGGCCAAGTCAATAAGGCCATATGGAAATAAAAATTTCAAATAAAAGGGAACAAAGTCCGGAGATAATGATGCAAAAAGGCTTGAAAGCTATCATCATTGCAAGAAAGGATTATGCCGAGGAGAAGAGGCTCTTGAAGATGAAGGAAATAGAGGAGAGGGTTGCGGCTAAGCTATGGAAGGCGGATGTCGAAGAGGAGAGGTTGAGGTTACCGAGGAGAAGAGGGTGGCGGTCGAGCAACACAAAGTGGAGCTAGAGGAGAGGATGGTGGCGGCCAAGGAAAAAGAAGAAAATATTATGTTCATGGGCACGAGTGGTCTTGACGCCAAGCAAAATGCATATGTTGAGCTTTATAAAGATCAAATGTTGACGAGGAAATCCATAATGATGATGAACATGGGAGGTGAGATGAGTAGCAGTATGGGAGGTGCAATAGGAGGCATGGGAAGATTCATGGGAGGCGGCATGGGAGGCATGGGAGGAGACTTTGCTACAATCCATGGCAATGAAGAAAAAGAAATCAATGATGACCAATGGGAGGCAAGTTTGGGTTACTAGTACTTTTGATCTGCTGTGACGCCCGGATATTTAAGCTACAGTAAACCCTTCTAATGATGCCACGTCACCACGATTACTGTTGCCAAACTCGCGATGATTCAAATCCCATTTGAATTCAAATTCAAAATCAAGGCACACAATAAAAAATTTCAAACATTAAAACTAAATTGTTCAAAATGTGACAAATAATGCAGAAGTACTAATGGTGGAGAAACCAACGTATTTAAAAGTGTTTAAATGCCCTAAACTAATTAAGACAGTGGTTGAAACAATAATTAAAATGCTTATCAAATAATAAAAATTCTAAAATAAATTATTTAAATGATACACTTAATATGACAGTGGCCTAATTGTTATTGCTAACATAGGTACTAACTTTATATCTTATAAACCTAAAACAAATAAAAGGAAATTAGGAAATAGAAAAGAAATAATAAAAGAAACAGAAAATAGAAAAATAAAAATAGAAGAAAAGGGGCCTAAGCTTCTGGTGGGTGAGTTAAGGCCCAGTCCACCGCGGTCAGCCAGAAGCCCAGCCCACCTCTTCACTCATCTCCTTCCTGCTACAGGGAGGCGGGGGGGGAATCGTGGCAAGCATCCCGTGGCCATGGCCGCGCCTGGCCACGCGCCGGCCATCCAACGGCCCCCCGGCGAGGATAAGGCCACCCCGAGGTCGTCCCCCAAACCTTAGCTGCTCTTCCCTCTCCCCCGCGCATTTTTTTCCTCTGCCCGTCACCACTTGAGACAGCCCGTGCTCGCCGCCATCCATCCCGCGGCAGTCGTCGTCCCCGCGCCCCGCCGTGGTGTCCAGAAGCTCCATCGACGACTGCTACATCCTCCTCGACCATGAGCTCAAGACGGGAACCCCTACGTCAGCGGGATCGAGCTCCGTCTACTTCGGACCACCGCCGGCGTTCGTCTTCGATTCTGGCGCCGTCGAGCCCTCCCCGAGCCCACTTGGCACCTCTACAGGCTCGCAGTGAGCTTCTCCTCCATCTCCCCCTATTTTTCCCTTCGATCCGACGCCGTAGACTGCTCGTCCCGTCGTGCCTGAAGCTCCATGCCCGCAACCATGTTCATCCGCCCATGGTCGCACCCCTAGTCGCGTACGGCCGCGCGCCCGCTCCTTCTTCTCCTTGTAGTGCCGCTGCTGCGCTGCTGTTGCTGCTCAGCTACTGCTATTGCTGTTTGCTGTCGTGCTTCCCTGCTACTACCTGCGGCTGCTACTGCCTGCTGCTCACGCCATGCGCCGTGCTCGTGTGCCGCCGCCAGCCGCGACCCAGCCACCCCCGCGCAGCCCGCTTCCGGCTACGCCTGCTGGCCAGGGCCGCGCCCCGCTTTTCCCCGCAATGTGCGTCGGGCATCAGCCGCCGGCGCTCCTTTGGGAGCGGCCGTGCGTGCTCCCAGCCACGATTGGGGCCGACCAGGCTAATTGGGGATTAGCCCTCCTTTTTTTTAGTTTAGTTTCATTAGTTGTATGGCCCTATGACCAGTGGCCCCCACTACCAATTAATCTAAGTCTAACTAAGCCAGGTCACTGACAAGTGGACCCGAGTCACCCCTTAACCAGTCAACGGTCCTAGTTGACCAGTCAACTGGACCCCACCTATTAGCCTCTTTGCACGATGTTGGGTACACTTGTCTGTGTGCCCATAGCAGTTTAGGTATTTTAATTTTCGAAATAATTTAACCAGGAAATTCTAGAATATTAACAAAACTTTGAAAATTAATAAAAAATAAACCGTAGCTTGGATTAAAATAATTTATACATGAAAGTTGCTCAGAACGACGAGACGAATCCGGATACACAGCCCGTTTGTCCTCCACACATCCCTAGCATAGCGGACACGCAACTTTCCCCCTCCGGTTCATCTATCCGAAAACGCGAAACATCGGGGATACTTTTCCGGATGTTTCTCCCCTTCGTCGGTACCACCGACTACCGCGTTAGGGCACACCGAACACCGCGTATTTCCTTGTTATGCTTTGTGATGCTTTGTTTGCTCTGTTATTTATTGTGTTTCCTCTCCGTTACTTCTTTCCGGTAGACCACGAGACTGCCGGCGACCCCCAGTTCGACTACGGAGTTGACGACCCCTCCTTGCCAGAGCAACCAGGCAAGTCCCCCCCTTGATCACCAGATATCGCCTATTCTTCTCTATACTGCTTGCATTAGAGTAGTGTAGCTTGTTACTGTTCAGTTACTCCTAATCTGTTGCATAGCCTGTCATTGTTGCTACAGTCATTGATACCTTACCCGCAATCCTAAATACTTAGTATAGGATGCTAGTTTATCATCATTGGCCCTACATTATTGTCAGTCTGCCTTGCTATACTATTGGGCCGTGATCACTTGGGAGGTGATCACGGGTATATACTATTCATATATACATACTATACAGATGGTGACTAAAGTCGGGTCAGCTCGTTGAGTACCCGCAAGTGATTCCGATGTGGGGGCTGAAAGGACAGGTGGCTCCATCCCGGTAGAGGTGGGCCTGGGTTCCTGACGGCCCCGACTGTTCCTTTGTGGCGGAGCGGCAGGGCAGGTTGAGACCACCTAGGAGAGAGGTGGGCCTGGCCCTGGTCGGTGTCCGTGGTTACTTCATAATAACACGCTTAACGAGATCTTGGTATTTGATCTGAGTCTGGCCACTGGCCTATACGCGCTAACCAACTACGCGGGAATAGTTATGGGCACTCGACGTCGTGGTATCAGCCGAAGCCTTCTTGACGTCAGCGACGGAGCGGCGCGCGCCGGATTGGACTAGAACGCCTACTCTTGTATAAGGGAGGCTAGGTCTGCTTCCGGCCGCCCACGCAATGTGCAGGTGTGCAATGGGCGATGGGCCCAGACCCCTGCGCGCATAGGATTTAGACCGGCGTGTTGACCTCTCTGTTGTGTCTAGGTGGGGCTGCGACGTGTTGATCTTCCGAGGCCGGGCATGACCCAGGAAAGTGTGTCCGGCCAAATGGGATCGAGCGTGTTGGGTTATGTGGTGCACCCCTGCAGGGAAGTTTATCTATTCGAATAGCCGTGTCCCTCGGTAAAAGGACGACCTGGAGTTGTACCTTGACCTTATGACAACTAGAACCGGATACTTAATAAAACACACCCAGACAAGTTCCACAGACAACCCGGTGATCGCTTTTCCGCAGGGCGACGAGGGGAGGATCACCGGGTAGGATTATGCTATGCGATGCTACTTGGAGGACTTCAATCTACTCTCTTCTACATGCTGCAAGATGGAGGTGGCCAGAAGCGTAGTCTTCGACAGGATTAGCTATCCCCCTCTTATTCTGGCATTCTGCAGTTCAGTCCATCGATATGGCCCTTTACACATATACCCATGCATACGTAGTGTAGCTCCTTGCTTGCGAGTACTTTGGATGAGTACTCACGGTTGCTTTTCTTCCTCTTTTCTCCTTTCCCTTCTACCTGGTTGTCGCAACCAGATGCTGGAGCCCTGGAGCCAGACGCCACCGTCG